TGTGTGTGTGTGTGTGTGTGTGTGAGAGTGTGTGTGTGTGTGTGTGTGTGTGTGTGTGTGTGTGTGTGTGTGTATACTCACCTATTTGTACTCACCTATTTGTGGTTGCAGGGGTCGAGTCTTAGCTCCTGGCCCCGCCTCTTCACCGATTGCTACTGGGCCCTCTCTCTCCCCGCTCCATGAGCTTTATCAAACCTCGTCTTAAAACTGTGTATGGTTCCTGCCTCCACTACGTCATTTTCTAGGCTATTTCACTGCCTTACAACTCTATGACTGAAGAAATACTTCCTAATATCTCTCTGACTCATTTGTGTCTTCAACTTCCAATTGTGGCCTCTTGTTTCTGTGTCCTCTCCCTGGAACATCCTGTCTTTGTCCACCTTGTCTATTCCACGCAGTATTTTATATGTCGTTATCATGTCTCCCCTGACCCTCCTGTCCTCCAGTGTCGTCAGGCCGATTTCCCTTAATCTTTCTTCATAGGACATTCCCCTTAGCTCTGGAACTAACCTTGTGGCAAACCTTTGTACTTTCTCTAGTTTCTTGACGTGCTTTATCAAGTGCGGGTTCCAAACATGTGCTGCATACTCCAGTATGGGCCTGACATACACGGTGTACAGTGTCTTGAACGATTCCTTACTAAGGTGTCGGAATGCTGTTCTCAGGTTTGCCAGGCGCCCATATGCTTCAGCAGTTATCTGATTGATGTGTGCTTCCGGAGACATGCTCGGTGTTATACTCACCCCAAGATCTTTCTCCTTGAGTGAGGTTTGCAGTCTTTGGCCACCTAGCCTATACTCTGTGGTCTTCTGTGCCCTTCCCCTATCTTCATGACTTTGCATTTGGCAGGATTAAATTCGAGAACCCATTTGCTGGACCAGGTGTCCAGTCTGTCCAGGTCTCTTTGAAGTCCTGCCTGGTCCTCATCAGATTTAATTCTCCTCATTAACTTCACATCATCTGCAAACAGGGACACTTCTGAGTCTAAACCCTTCCATCATGTCGTTCACATATACCAAAAATAGCACTGGTCCTAGGACCGACCCCTGTGGGACCCCGCTCGTCACAGGTGCCCACTGTGATACATCATTACGTACCATGACTCGTTGTTGCCTCCCTGTCAGGTATTCTCTGATCCATTGCAGTGCCCTTCCTGTTATATGCGCCTGATGCTCTAGCTTCTGCACTAATCTCTTGTGAGGAACTGTGTCAAAGGCCTTCTTGCAGTCCAAGTAGATGCAATCAACCCACCCCTCTCTCTCGTGTCTTACTTCTGTTATTTTATCATAAAACTCCAGAAGGTTTGTGACACAGGATTTGCCTTCCGTGAATCTGTGCTGGTTGGCATTTATACTCTTGTTCAGTTCCAGGTGCTCCACCACTCTCCTCCTGATAATCTTCTCCATAATTTTGCATACTATACACGTCAATGACACAGGTCTATAGTTTAGTGCCTCTTTTCTGTCTCCTTTTTTAAAAATGGGAACTACATTTGCCGTCTTCCATACCTCAGGTAGTTGCCCAGTTTCCAGGGACGTGTTGAAGATTGTGGTAAGTGGCACGCACAACATATCTGCTCCGTCTCTAAGGACCCACGGGGAGATGTTGTCCGGCCCCATTGCCTTTGAGGTATCGATGTCCCTTAGCAGTTTCTTCACCTCCTCCTCATCTGTATGTATGTCGTCCAACACTTGTTGGTGTATTCCTTGCTGGTGTCCCCATCTGGTCTGTCCCCCCAGAGTCCTTCCTGTCTCTACTGTAAATACTTCCTTAAATCTCGTGTTGAGCTCCTCACATACCTCTTGATCGTTTCTTGTGAGTTCTCCACCTTCTTTCCTCAGCCTTATCACCTGGTCCTTGACTGTTGTCTTCCTCCTAATGTGGCTATACAGCAGTTTCGGGTCAGATTTGACTTTCGATGCTATGTCGTTTTCATACTGTCGCTGGGCCTCCCTCCTTATCTGTGCATACTCGTTTCTGGCTCTTCTACTAATCTCCTTGTTTTCCTGGGTCCTATGCCTCCTGTACCTTTTCCATTCTCTGTTGCACTTAGTTTTTGCCTCCCTACACCTTCGGGTAAACCAAGGACTCGTTTTGGTCTTCCTATTATTTCTGTTTCCCTTGGGAACAAAACTTTCCTCTGCCTCCTTGCACTTTGTTGCCACATATTCCATCATCTCGTTTACTGATTTTCCTACCATTTCTCTGTCCCACTGAACCTCCTGCAGGAAGTTTCTCATACCTGTGTAGTCCCCCCTTTTATAGTTTGGCCTGTCCCCTTCAGTTCCTGTTACCTTCTCCACTTGTAACTCTACTATATAATCAAAACTCAGAACCACGTGATCGCTAGCTCCAAGGGGCCTCTCGTAAGTGATGTCTTCAATGTCTGAACTGCTCAGGGTGAACACAAGATCCAGTCTTGCTGGCTCATCCTCCCCTCTCTCTCGGGTTGTGTCCCTGACATGTTGATGCATGAGGTTTTCAAGTACCACATCCATCATCTTGGCTCTCCATGTTTCAGGACCTCCATGTGGCTCCAGCTTTTCCCAGTCGATCTCCCTGTGGTTGAAATCGCCCATTACCAGTAACCTTGCTCTGCTCGAGTGTGCTCTTCTTGCCACCTCAGCCAGTGTGTCCACCATCACCCTGTTGTTTTCTTCGTACTCCTCTCTTGGCCTCCTGCAGTTCTGTGGTGGGTTATACATCACTCCAATGACTACTTTATGTTCTCCGGACTGAATTGTACCTACTATGTAGTCTCTTTCTCCAATCATGTCCATGCCTTCCATTTCCTCAAATCCCCATCGGTGTTTTATGAGCAGTGCAACCCCTCCTCCCCCTCTACTCCTTCTATCTTTCCTCAGGATCTGATATCCCGTTGGGAAGATTGTGTCTGTTATTGTCTCAGCGAGTTTTGTTTCTGTGACTGCTATGATGTCTGGGGATTTTTCACTGATTCTTTCGTTCCACTCCTCATGTTTATTCATTATTCCATCCACGTTTGTGTACCAAACTTTCAGTTTCTTTTCTATCATTGTGGTCATGCAAGAATATTGGGGTTGGGGGAGTGAGAGCCTTGGTGGGGGCCTATATGGGGCTGTGGTGTTGGTGGGGTTTGTGATGATGGGGGTGGGGTCAGAATGCCCATAAGGGACAGCTGTTGGGGTGAGGTTTTTGATATGGGGGTTGGTGGCAGAGGGAACAGTGAGTGGGTTGTAGTATAGGTTGCTCAGTTGCGTTGGGAATGTCGCGGTTGGAGTCTTTTGGTGGGAGGTTCTGTGGGGTGTGTTTTCCCTTCCTCCTGTGTCTAGGTCCTGCTCATTTTCGTCATTGCCTCTCGTTCCTCCTTGCGTCTCTGTACCCTCTGTTTCAGTGTAGTCCTTTCTTCTTGTGTTCTGTCGCAGGTGAGGTATACTCTCTGGTACCCCTGTTTGTCCCTCAGTCTTGCTTTCTCTTGCAGAATCCTGGTTCGAACTGATTCTTCCTTGAAAGTTACTCTGACAGGCCGTATCCTTCCACTCGCAAACCACCCAATTCTCTGAAAATTTGTCACCTGGGTCATATTGCCCTCACTTACTGTTTTCATGATGCCTTCAATCATTTTTTTCTCCTCCTGTTTTATTTCTTCAAAGTTGTCCCCCTTGGCTTCTTGGAGCCCGTACACAAAAACTGACCTCGCCCTTTCCTCCTCCCACTGAGTCTCCATCTGCTTCCTCTGAGGCATTTTATTTCCTTCCATTGACATGTTCTTGCCTTCAGTCCCTGTCATATCTGAAACTTCTATTCTCAGTGAACTGTCTTTCATGACCAACTGTCCCTTGCTACTGCAGTTGGCTGTTAGAATCTCTGCATATAGCATACCTTCATTGTCTTCGGACCTGTCATTTGATCTTAGTGTGCTCCTCGTCTTTTCCCTGGCCCCACGTGGGTCTGATAGGGCCTTCGTGTACGTCATGTCTCCGTTGTTGCTTACCGTCCCCTTGTCTGCACCTGACATTGAATTTCCTGATGTCACATCTGAATTGTCATTTGTCTCTCTAATCTGTTTCAGGCTTTGCAGTTTCTCTTCTAAGCACTGTATCCTAGCTTCTGCTGCTAAGACCTGTACTTCCCACTTCCTGCACTCTTCAGCTATCTGCTCCTCCATTTTCTTACCAAGCTCCACTATCTTCCTTCCCCACTCCTCCCTTTTTTGGAGCTCTAACTCCCAGTCTTTCCTCCCTGGTTCGTCTACCAGATCACTGGTTTTCCGTCCTCTAGGGCCACCCATTTTTTTTTTTTTTTTTTTTTTTTTTTTTTTTTTTTGTGTGTGTGTGTGTGTGTGTGTGTGTGTGTGTGTGTGTGTGTGTGTGTGTGTGTGTGTGTGTGTGTGTGCCTAGTTTCAAATAAAGTGAGAGAACGGGTGAAATCTATTATTTCTGTGTTAAATAATGGCATAAGAATTAGCTACAACATAGTTTATTTTACAGCACACCTTGGTTAGTGGAATATTATTTTACAGCACACCTTGGTTAGTGGAATATTATTTTAAATTATATTTTATACAAATTATCAATATTCTGCAAGGCATTATTTAGAGCAGCTTCACACATTGACCCAGCTCGAGCAGCTTCACACATTGACCCAGCTCGAGCAGCTTCACACATTGACCCAGCTCGAGCAGCTTCATACATTGACCCAGCTCGAGCAGCTTCACATATTGACCACTCGAGCAGCTTCACACATGACAGCTCGAGCAGCTTCACACATTGACCCAGCTCGAGCAGCTTCACACATTGACCCAGCTCGAGCAGCTTCACACATTGACCCAGCTCGAGCAGCTTCACACATTGACCCAGCTCGAGCAGCTTCACACATTGACCCAGCTCGAGCAGCTCACATACCTCAGCACTTCACACATTGACCCAGCTCGAGCAGCTTCACACATTGATCCAGCTCGAGCAGCTTCACACATTGACCCAGCTCGAGCAGCTTCATACATTGACCCAGCTCGAGCAGCTTCACACATTGACCACTCGAGCAGCTTCACACATTGACCCAGCTCGGGCAGCTTCACACATTGACCCAGCTCGAGCAGCTTCACACATTGACCCAGCTCGAGCAGCTTCACACATTGACCCAGCTCGAGCAGCTTCACACATTGACCCAACTCGTCCACCAAGATTATACATCATCTGAGTAGATATGACTGATGAATGATGATTACGAACTTGTCATCAAAATGATAATTCATTCATGTCTATATTCACAGATCTACATTTATATTGATACATAGAAAGTACCGGCAACTAATTGTTTCTACCAGTCACCATCGCCATGATAAGCTGAATTAATTAATTGTTTCTACCAGTCACCATCGTCATTATTAACTGCGTTAATTGTTTCTACCAGTCACCATCGCCATGATAAGCTGAATTAATTAATTGTTTCTACCAGTCACCATCGTCATGATAAGCTGAATTAATTAATTGTTTCTACCAGTCACCATCGTCATGATAAGCTGAATTAATTAATTGTTTCTACCAGTCACCATCGCCATGATAAGCTGAATTAATTAATTGTTTCTACCAGTCACCATCGTCATGATAAGCTGAATTAATTAATTGTTTCTACCAGTCACCATCGTCATTATTAACTGCGTTAATTGTTTCTACCAGTCACCATCGTCATTATTAACTGCGTTAATTGTATCTACCAGTCACCATCGTCATTATTAACTGCGTTGTTTCTACCAGTCACCATCGTCATTATTAACTGCGTTAATTGTTTCTACCAGTCACCATCGTCATTATTAACTGCGTTAATTGTTTCTACCAGTCACCATCGTCATTATTAACTGCGTTAATTGTTTCTACCAGTCACCATCGTCATTATAAGCTGCGTAATTAATTCACGGAAATATTCCTTCATGTCTGAGTTGTCAGTTGTCACTTTTGCCCAGCAGAGTACAGGAACTTTTGTCGCAGCTGTACAAGCTGGTCGCTAAGCAGGAGACACTACAGTATGTACAAGCTGGTCGCTAAGCAGGAGCCACTACAGTATGTACAAGTTGGTCGCTAAGCAGGAGCAACTACAGTATGTACAAGCTGGTCGCTAAGCAGGAGCCACTACAGTATGTACAAGCTGGTCGCTAAGCAAGAGACACTACAGTATGTACAAGCTGGTCGCTAAGCAGGAGACACTACAGTATGTACAAGCTGGTCGCTAAGCAGGAGCCACTACAGTATGTACAAGCTGGTCGCTAAGCAGGAGACACTACAGTATATACAAGCTGGTCGCTAAGCAGGAGACACTACAGTATATACAAGCTGGTCGCTAAGCAGGAGACACTACAGTATGTACAAGCTGGTCGCTAAGCAGGAGCCACTACAGTATGTACAAGCTGGTCGCTAAGCAGGAGACACTACAGTATATACAAGCTGGTCGCTAAGCAGGGGACACTACAGTATATACAAGCTGGTCGCTAAGCAGGAGACACTACAGTATATACAAGCTGGTCGCTAAGCAGGAGCCACTACAGTATATACAAGCTGGTCGCTAAGCAGGGGACACTACAGTATATACAAGCTGGTCGCTAAGCAGGACACACTACAATATATACAAGCCAGAACCTCAGCAGGACACAGTACAATATATACAAGCCAGAACCTCAGCAGGACACACTACAATATATACAAGCCAGAACCTCAGCAGGACACAGTACAATATATACAAGCCAGAACCTCAGCAGGACACAGTACAATATATACAAGCCAGAACCTCAGCAGGACACAGTACAATATATACAAGCCAGAACCTTAGCAGGACACACTACAATATATACAAGCCAGAACCTCAGCAGGACACAGTACAGTATATACAAGCCAGAACCTCAGCAGGACACAGTACAATATATACAAGCCAGAACCTCAGCAGCACACAGTACAGTATATACAAGCCAGAACCTCAGCAGGATACAGTACAATATATACAAGCCAGAACCTCAGCAGCACACAGTACAGTATATACAAGCCAGAACCTCAGCAGGACACAGTACAATATATACAAGCCAGAACCTCAGCAGCACACAGTACAGTATATACAAGCCAGAACCTCAGCAGGATACAGTACAATATATACAAGCCAGAACCTCAGCAGCACACACTGCAGTATATACAAGTATTACAAACACTGGTCTCTTATTGCAACATCTCCACACAAGTAGACTATTGTTATTTCATAAGTCTAATATTAGTGTAGTAACATAAGAGGTCGGGATGCAAAATAAACAGAAATTTATCATCTTTACCATAACAATATTTGATATAAAAACATAATCTTTAGTATAGGTATATATATCCTACAATAATTTTAATTTCACACACCGTGTCACCTGACACTCACAAGGTACAGACGACACCCTTTTCAGGGTTATAACACACCTCTACCGTGTCACACGACACCTTTGTCTCTGCATTATGACACACCATCTCTACTGTGTCCACATGACACCCTTTTCTCCGTGTAAATCTACACACCTTCTCTACCGTGTCACACGACACCTTTATCTTTGCATTATAACACACCGTCTACTGCGTCATACGACACATCATCTCTCCTCTCTATAACTCTCCCCTCTCTCAGTATCACCCGCATAGCGTCTTTCTCCTCAGAGGCCAGCCTGGCAATGCACCCCGGTAGAATCAGCCATAGGCCAGCAATCTGTCACATGACACTATTCACCAGTGTCACACTACGACCCTATCTTCCTTCAGTGTCACACGACACTATCTTCTCTCAGTGTCACACTACGTCCTATCCTCTTCTTGAAAGAGGATACCACCAAGGAGAGAGTTTGAAGTGTCTCCTCAGAGAAGCCTGCAAGTACTTTAGTGAGGCCAGCAGGTAAACTGAAGTCCACGGGGATCTGAGTGACCAGTAAAACTGTGGCTAGAGGGCTCACAGTTGACTGAAGTCAGCAGTGAGTCGGTAGGTATCACCTTCAGGTGTACTCCGTCAGGCAGTCTGGTGAACACTCGCCGTAAGGTAAGGCCTGGCTCAACAGTCCCCACATTGGGTTTGATGACGTACCCGTGGTACTGCAGGCCAGCAGGTTAACAATCTAGCCACTAGTTTGGCAGCAGGCCCCAACAACAAGCTTGCACCTCAGAAGGACACACTACAATATATACAAGCCAGAACCCCAGCAGGACACAGTACAGTATATACTAGCCAGCACCTCAGCAGGACACAGTAGAGTATATACAAGCCAGCACCTCAGCAGGACACAGTACAGTATATACAAGCCAGCACCTCAGCAGGACACACTACAATATATACAAGCCAGCACCTCAGCAGAACACAGTACAGTATATACAAGCCAGAACCTCAGCAGGACACAGTACAGTATATACAAGCCAGCACCTCAGCAGGACACAGTACAGTATATACAAGCCAGCACCTCAGCAGGACACAGTACAGTATATACAAGCCAGCACCTCAGCAGAACACAGTACAGTATATACAAGCCAGAACCTCAGCAGGACACAGTACAGTATATACAAGCCAGCACCTCAGCAGAGCACAGTACAGTATATACAAGCCAGAACCTCAGCAGGACACAGTACAGTATATACAAGCCAGCACCTCAGCAGGACACAGTACAGTATATACAAGCCAGCACCTCAGCAGGATATAGTGGCAATATAAACACAAATGCAGTATAATGTGATCCTTTATTGACTACGTTTCGCCCACACAGTGGGCTTTTTCAAGTCACAAACAGAACTACCTGGGGTGGAAGGAACGCGAGTATTTATAGTCCGGCTGAGGTCAGGTGAAGAATGCTGCATCTGATGATGTACCGAGTTGGGTTGTAGAGTCTAAAAACTTGGGTAGCTTGGAAAGGAGACTGGACAAGTTTGTGAGCAGACCTTCTACAGTGTTCTTATGTGGGATAGCGATGAAGAAGTTTCTTGGCAAGTGGTTCAGCTATGTTATAGAAGCCACTATTCTGGTTGAAGTTGTCGGATATAGAAATAAGTGATGATTCCAGGATTCTTCGGTATTGGGTGTTGTCTTCTGTGGCGATAAGTCTTGAGTTTCTGTAGTTTATCAAGTGGTTGTGTGAATTACGGTGTTGTACGCAGGCATTCCTTGTGTCGTCAGACCTGCTTGCGTATTGGTGTTCTGAAATACGTGTTTGGAGGTCCCTTGATGTTTCGCCCACGTATAACTTGTTGCAGTCATTACAAGGGATTATGTATACCCCTGCAGAGGATGGAGGCTTGTCCTGCCTACTACTGGTGATGTCCTTGATGGTCGTGGTTGTGGAGGTAGATACTTGGAATGATGTTTTGGCAAAGATGTTGGAAACATGTTTGGCAATGGAGTTGGTGGGAAGGACTATGTATCTCTTCTCGGCAGTGTCTTCTCTGGGTGTGTTGAAGATGTTTAGTGCTCGCCGTCTGCAGTCTCTGATGAAGTGACGAGGATAGTGGAGTTTGGAAAATACCTGTTCAATTATAGTGCATTCTTCCTCAAGGAACTCGTTGCTGCAGATTCTGAGTGCACGCAGGAAGAAGCCTATAATTACACCACGTTTGGTTTTGGTGTCGTGGTGAGAGTAGAAGTGGAGAAGATCGTTTTGGTTGGTGGGTTTTCGATAGACTTTAAAACGAAGTTCGTGGTCAGCTTTGCAGAGTAGAACTTCATCAGAGACTGCAGACGGCGAGCACTAAACATCTTCAACACACCCAGAGAAGACACTGCCGAGATACATAGTCCTTCCCACCAACTCCATTGCCAAACATGTTTCCAACATCTTTGCCAAAACATCATTCCAAGTATCTACCTCCACAACCACGACCATCAAGGACATCACCAGTAGTAGGCAGGACAAGCCTCCATCCTCTGCAGGGGTATACATAATCCCTTGTAATGACTGCAACAAGTTATACGTGGGCGAAACATCAAGGGACCTCCAAACACGTATTTCAGAACACCAATACGCAAGCAGGTCTGACGACACAAGGAATGCCTGCGTACAACACCGTAATTCACACAACCACTTGATAAACTACAGAAACTCAAGACTTATCGCCACAGAAGACAACACCCAATACCGAAGAATCCTGGAATCATCACTTATTTCTATATCCGACAACTTCAACCAGAATAGTGGCTTCTATAACATAGCTGAACCACTTGCCAAGAAACTTCTTCATCGCTATCCCACATAAGAACACTGTAGAAGGTCTGCTCACAAACTTGTCCAGTCTCCTTTCCAAGCTACCCAAGTTTTTAGACTCTACAACCCAACTCGGTACATCATCAGATGCAGCATTCTTCACCTGACCTCAGCCGGACTATAAATACTCGCGTTCCTTCCACCCCAGGTAGTTCTGTTTGTGACTTGAAAAAGCCCACTGTGTGGGCGAAACGTAGTCAATAAAGGATCACATTATACTGCATTTGTGTTTATATTGCCATTGTGTCGGTATTTTATACCATTTATTTCCAGCAGGATATAGTACAATATATACAAGCCAGAACCTCAACAGGACACACTACAATATATACAAGCCAGAACTTCAGAAGAACACACTTCAATATATACAAGCCAGAACCTCAGCAGGACTGGCTGTGCACTGCCTGATACACTCGCCTCTCTACCTTCTCCACACAATATAATGCTTGACCTGGTACACCTGAACAGTGCCTCATCTACAACTGTTTCCCAGCCGAAAGTTTCTACTACAGTTAGTCAAGTTATGGCGCTTCAGTTGCTTTATATTACATTCTTGTTGAACATTTTCCTTATTACGTAGACATAAATATATAAGATAACTCCTGAAACTTTCGTTGAAAACTACTACCTGCAAGATTTTACTAACCTGTTGGATTACGTCGTTCTTATATAGTTGCAATAACCTGAAGATAATGACTCCCAGCGCCTCCAGCAGAAGACTCAGGAAGAGGTGTTTGTGTAGAGTAATGCGATGAACACGCAGCTGTCTGGGTAAACATATTTAATATTAATATATGTTTGGTGGAGGCTCGATACTCCGCCCGCAGACTGCGAGACAGATACATTGCCGAGCTATGTTCACGTACTTCGATGTGTTAGACAATTATCGAAGGTTGATAGCACTTTAAATCATGTTATACAGGAGCACAGGGAGTGTTATCATACAGCAGGAGGAGCACAGGGAGTGTTATCATGCAGCAGGAGGAGCACAGGGAGTGTTATCATGCTGCAGGAGGACCACAGGGGGGAGTGTTATCATACAGCAGGAGGAGCACAGGGAGTGTTATCATGCAGCAGGAGGAGCACAGGGAGTGTTATCATACAGCAGGAGGAGCACAGGGAGTGTTATCATGCAGCAGGAGAAGCACAGGGAGTGTTATCATACAGCAGGAGGAGCACAGGGAGTGTTATCATACAGCAGGAGGACCACAGGGAGTGTTATCATACAGCAGGAGGAGCACAGGGAGTGTTATCATGCAGTAGGAGGAGCACAGGGAGTGTTATCATACAGCATGAGGAGCACAGGGAGTGTTATCATACAGCATGAGGAGCTCAGGGAGTGTTATCATACAGCAGGAGGAGCACAGGGAGTGTTATCATACAACAGGAGGAGCACAGGGAGTGTTATCATACAGCAGGGAGACAGGAGTGTATAACAGCAGAGGCAGGAATGTTATCATACAGCAGGAGGAGCACAGGGAATGTTATCATCAGCGAGAGCAAGGATGTACACAGCAGGAGGACCACAGGGAGTGTTATCATACAGCAGGAGGAGCACAGGGAGTGTTATCATGCAGCAATTATGGTACCCCAGTGCACAATTATATTACTCTAGTGCACAATTATATTACCCCAGTGCACAATTATGGTACCCCAGTGCACAATTATGTTACTCCAGTGCATAATTATGGTAGCCCAGTGCACAATTATGTTACTCCAGTGCACAATTATGATACCCCAGTGCACAATTATATTACTCTAGTGCACAATTATGGTACCCCAGTGCACAATTATGTTACTCCAGTGCACAATTATGATACCCCAGTGCACAATTATATTACTCTAGTGCACAATTATGGTACCCCAGTGCACAATTATATTACTCCAGTACACAATTATGGTAGCCCTGTGCACAATTATGGTAGCCCTGTGCACAATTATATTACTCCAGTACACAATTATGGTAGCCCTGTGCACAATTATGGTAGCCCTGTGCACAATTATATTACTCCAGTACACAATTATGGTACCCCAGTGCACAATTATATTACTCCAGTGCACAATTATGGTACCCCAGTGCACAATTATATTACTCCAGTACACAATTATGGTAGCCCAGTGCACAATTATATTACTCCAGTACACAATTATGGTAGCCCAGTGCACAATTATATTACTCCAGTACACAATTATGGTACCCCAGTGCACAGTTATATTACTCCGTGCACAAATTATGGTAGCCCAGTGCACAGTTATATTACTCCAGTACACAATTATGGTAGCCCAGTGCACAATTATATTACTCCAGTACACAATTATGGTACCCCAGTGCACAGTTATATTACTCCAGTGCACAATTATGGTAGCCCAGTGCACAGTTATATTACTCCAGTACACAATTATGGTAGCCCAGTGCACAGTTATATTACTCCAGTACACAATTATGGTACCCCAGTGCACAGTTATATTACTCCAGTGCACAATTATGGTAGCCCAGTGCACAATTATATTACTCCAGTACACAATTATGGTAGCCCAGTGCACAATTATATTACTCCAGTACACAATTATGGTAGCCCAGTGCACAATTATATTACTCCAGTACACAATTATGGTAGCCCTGTGCACAATCATTCGTAAGTAAACAGTTGAACATTTTATAGTATGATTTGATATCATTCATGATATAAGCTTTGTGAATACCTTTCTGAATTCTGTGGCTGCCTAGCGGCTTCCTAGTATCTATGGTACATAATAGTACTCCTAGTAACTGTAGTACATAATAGTACTCCTAGTATCTTAAAGTACTCCTAGTATCTATGGTACATAATAGTACTCCTAGTATCTATGGTACATAATAGTACTCCTAGTATCTATGGTACATAATAGTACTCCTAGTATCTATGGTACATAATAGTACTCCTAGTATCTATGGTACATAATAGTACTCCTAGTATCTATGGTACATAATAGTACTCCTAGTATCTATGGTACATAATAGAACTCCTAGTATCTATGGGGCATTAGAATATTCCAGATAATGTATGGTAATTATTTAGTGTTTTGGCTCAGTGTGTTCCTATAGTCTTAAGCTGCCCTGCTCCTGTCTTATCTCAACCAGTTATCCGGAATACTATGTTATCTCAACCAGTTATCCGGAATACTATGTTATCTCAACCAGTTATCCGGAATACTATGTTATCTCAACCAGTTATCCAGAATACTATGTTATCTCGACCAGTTATCCAGAATACTATGTTATCTCAACCAGTTATCCGGAATACTATGTTATATCAACCAGTTATCCGGAATACTATGTTATCTCAACCAGTTATCCGGAATGCTATGTTATCTCAAACAGTTATCCAGAATACTATGTTATCTCAACCAGTTATCCGGAATACTATGTTATCTCAACCAGTTATCTGGAATACTATGTTATCTCAACCAGTTATCCGGAATACTATGTTATCTCAACCAGTTATCCAGAATACTATGTTATCTCGACCAGTTATCCAGAATACTATGTTATCTCAACCAGTTATCCGGAATACTATGTTATATCAACCAGTTATCCGGAATACTATGTTATCTCAACCAGTTATCCGGAATGCTATGTTATCTCAAACAGTTATCCAGAATACTATGTTATCTCAACCAGTTATCCGGAATACTATGTTATCTCAACCAGTTATCTGGAATACTATGTTATCTCAACCAGTTATCCGGAATACTATGTTATCTCAACCAGTTATCCGGAAAGTAATTCCTACAAATTCCTAAGGCGAGTGTAGATGAGATGACTGGTGGTCTGGACGACCTGTACGATGACTCACTTGTATGAGATGAAGATACAGAGGGCTGGAAATAAGGCGGCCACAGAAATACTGTACGCTGCGATGTGCACATACAGCCGCCGGTGGATGTTCTCCTCAACGCTACAAGAAGAGTAGTTGCTCCACTCTTGTTTACCTTCTCGCCGGTACCAGTGACCGGCATTCTGGCACCTCTTACTTGCCTCCTCTAACACACACACAGGGAGAAGCTCAGGTTAGTGCCCTCTCTTAACTTCTCTCATATCACATTATTTGAAATTCATTCTCAATTGTAAAACATTATTAAATAGAAAATCTGCGTACGTGTTTTTCTCACTGCGCGAGACATCTTGAGTGATGAGTGGTGAGTAGATGTGGAGGGGGAGAGTGGGGAGGGTCTAGTGGTGGTGGTGAAGTGAGTGGGGAGGGTCTAGTGGTGGTGGTGAAGTGAGTGGGGAGGGTCTAGTGGTGGTGGTGAAGTGAGTGGAGAGGGTCTATTGGTGGTGGTGGTGAGTAGTGGGAGGGTCTAATGGTGTGGTGGTGAGTGAGTGGGGAGGGTCTAGTGGTGGTGGTGAAGTGAGTAGGGGAGGGTCTAAGTGGTGGTGAAGTGAGTGGAGAGGGTCTATTGGTGGTGGTGGTGGAGTGGGGAGAGTCTAGTGGTGGTGATGAAGTGAGTGGGAGGGGTCTATTGGTGGTGGTGGAGTGGGGAGGGTCTAGTGGTGGTGATGAAGTGAGTGGGAGGGTCTAGTGGTGGTGGTGGAGTGGGGAGGGTCTAGTGGTGGTGGTGAGTGGGGAGGGTCTAGTGGTGGTGGTGGAGTGGGGAGGGTCTAGTGGTGGTGGTGAGTGGAGTGGGGAGGGTCTAGTGGTGGTGGTGGAGTGGGGAGGGTCTAGTGGTGGTGTGGAGTGGGGAGGGTCTAGTGGTGGTGATGAAGTGAGTGGGGAGGGTCTAGTGGTGGTGGTGGTGGAGTGGGGAGGGTCTAGTGGTGGTGGTGAAGTGAGTGGGGAGGGTCTAGTGGTGGTGATGAAGTGAGTTGGGAGGGTCTAGTGGTGGTGGTGGTGGAGTGGGGAGGGTCTAGTGGTGGGTGGTGGTGGAGTGGGGAGGGTCTAGTGGTGGTGATGAGTGAGTGGGGAGGGTCTAGTGGTGGTGGTGGTGGAGTGGGGAGGGTCTAGTGGTGGTGGTGGAGTGGGAGGGTCTAGTGGGTGGTGTGAAGTGAGTGGGGAGGGTCTGTGGTGGTGGTGGTGGAGTGGGGAGGGTCTAGTGGTGGTGGTGGAGTGGGGAGGGTCTAGTGGTGGTGGTGAGTGGGGAGGGTCTAGTTGGTGGTGATGAAGTGAGTGGGGAGGGTTCGTGGTGGTGGTGGTGGAGTGGGGAGGGTCTAGTGGTGGTGGTGGTCAAGTGAGTGGGGAGGGTCTAGTGGTGGTGGTGGTGAAGTGAGTGGGGAGGGTCTCGTGGTGGGGTGGTGAAGTGAGTGGGGAGGGTCTAGTGGTGGTGGTGGTGACGTGAGTGGGAGGGTCTCGTGGTGGTGGTGGTGAAGTGAGTGGGGAGGGTCTAGTGGTGGTGTGGTGAAGTGAGTGGGGAGGGTCTAGTGGTGGTGGTGGTGAAGTGAGTGGGGAGGGTCTAGTGGTGGTTGTGGTGAAGTGAGTGGGGAGGTCTAATGGTGGTGAAGTGAGTGGGAAGGGTCTAGTGGTGGTGGTGGTGAAGTGAGTGGGGAGTTCTAGTGGTGGTGGTGGTGAAGTGAGTGGGAGAGTCTAATGGTGGTGGTGGTGAAGTGAGTGGGGAGGGTCTATGGTGGTGGTGGTGAAGTGAATGGGGAGGGTCTAGTGGTGGTGAAGTCAGTGGGAGATTCTAGTGGTGGTGGTAAGTGAGTGGGTGGGTCTAGTGGTGGTGGTGAAGTGAGTGGGGAGGGTCTAGTGGTGGTGGTGAAGTGAGTGGGGAGGGTCTAGTGGTGGTGGTGGATGGGGAGGGTCTAGTGGTGGTGGTGGTCAAGTGAGTGGGAGGGTCTAGTGGTGTGTGAAGTGAGTGGGGAGGGTCTAGTGGTGGTGGTGGAGTGGGAGGGTCTAGTGGTGGTGGTGGTCAAGTGAGTGGGGAGGGTCTAGTGGTGGTGGTGGTGAAGTGAGTGGGGAGGGTCTAGTGGTGGTGGTGGAGTGGGGAGGTCTAGTGGTGGTGGTGGTGACGTGAGTGGGGAGGGTCTAGTGGTGGTGGTGGTGAAGTGAGTGGGGAGGGTCTAGTGGTGGTGGTGGTGAAGTGAGTGGGGAGGGGTCTAGTGGTGGTGGTGGTGAAGTGAGTGGGGAGGGTCTAATGGTGGTGAAGTGAGTGGGAAGGGTCTAGTGGTGGTGGTGGTGAATTGAGTGGGGAGATTCTAGTGGTGGTGGTGGTGAAGTGAGTGGGGGAGGGTCTAGTCGTAGTGGTGGTGGAGTGGGGAGAGTCTAGTGGTGGTGATAAAGTGAGTGGGGAGGGTCTAGTGGTGGTAGTGGTGACGTGAGTGGGGGAGGGTCTAGTCGTAGTGGTGGTGAAGTGAGCGGGGAGGGTCTAGTGGTGGTGTTGGGGTGGTGGGGGTGGTGGTGGAGTGAGTGGGGAGGGTGGAGTGGAGAGGGTCTAGTGGTGGTGAAGTGAGTGGGGTGGGTCTAGTGGTGGTGGTGGTGGTGAAGTGAGTGGGGAGATTCTAGTGGTGGTGGTGGTGAAGTGAGTGGGGAGAGTCTAATGGTGGTGGTGGTGAAGTGAATGGGGAGGGTCTAATGGTGGTGGTGGTGAAGTGAATGGGGAGGGTCTAGTGGTGGTGGTGGTGAAGTGAGTGGGGAGAGTCTAATGGTGGTGGTGGTGAAGTGAATGGGGAGGGTCTAATGGTGGTGGTGAAGTGAGTGGGGAGAGTCTAATGGTGGTGGTGGTGAAGTGAGTGGGGAGAGTCTAATGGTGGTGGTGGTGAAGTGAATGGGGAGGGTCTAATGGTGGTGGTGGTGAAGTGAGTGGGGAGATTCTAGTGGTGGTGGTGGTGAAGTGAGTGGGGAGAGTCTAATGGTGGTGGTGGTGAAGTGAGTGGGGAGATTCTAGTGGTGGTGGTGGTGAAGTGAGTGGGGAGAGTCTAATGGTGGTGGTGGTGAAGTGAGTGGGGAGAGTCTAATGGTGGTGGTGGTGAAGTGAGTGGGGAGAGTCTAATGGTGGTGGTGGTGAAGTGAATGGGGAGGGTCTAGTGGTGGTGGTGAAGTGAGTGGGGAGATTCTAGTGGTGGTGGTGAAGTGAGTGGGGTGGGTCTAGTGGTGGTGGTGGTGAAGTGAGTGGGGCTATTCTAGTGGTGGTGGTGAAGTGAGTGGGGTGGGTCTAGTGGTGGTGGTGGTGAAGTGAATGGGGAGGGTCTAGTGGTGGTGGTGGTGAAGTGAGTGGGGAGATTCTAGTGGTGGTGGTGGTGAAGTGAGTGGGGAGAGTCTAATGGTGGTGGTGGTGAAGTGAGTGGGGTGGGTCTAGTGGTGGTGGTGGTGAAGTGAATGGGGAGGGTCTAGTGGTGGTGAAGTCAGTGGGGAGGGTCTAGTGGTGGTGGTGAAGTGAGTGGGGAGATTCTAGTGGTGGTGGTGGTGAAGTGAGTGGGGTGGGTCTAGTGGTGGTGGTGGTGAAGTGAATGGGGAGGGTCTAGTGGTGGTGAAGTCAGTGGGGAGGGTCTAGTGGTGGTGGTGGTGAAGTGAGTGGGGAGATTCTAGTGGTGGTGGTGGTGAAGTGAGTGGGGTGGGTCTAGTGGTGGTGAAGTCAGTGGGGAGGGTCTAGTGGTGGTGGTGGTGAAGTGAGTGGGGAGATTCTAGTGGTGGTGGTGGTGAAGTGAGTGGGGTGGGTCTAGTGGTGGTGAAGTCAGTGGGGAGGGTCTAGTGGTGGTGGTGGTGAAGTGAGTGGGGAGATTCTAGTGGTGGTGGTGGTGAAGTGAATGGGGAGAGTCTAATATTGGTGGTGGTGAAGTGAGTGGGGAGAGTCTAGTGGTGGTGGTGGTGAAGTGAGTGGGGAGAGTCTAATATTGGTGGTGGTGAAGTGAGTGGGGAGAGTCTAGTGGTGGTGGTGGTGAAGTGATTGTGATGGGTGGAGGAACATTAACTCACTATTATATGCTAAATAACCGTAGTGAAAAATCTTAAAATTCCAAGCGCCTTCGTGATTTCTCATATTATCAAGAAATATTCCCTGATAGTATGGAAAATCACAGAAGCGCTTGGAATTTCACTATTTTCACTCTGGTTATCTTGTATATTGTGCCACCTATATGTATGAATATGTATGAAAAACCTGCCTATAATGAATGTCAAAAACAGTTGGAACTTACTAGCACAAGAGGGGCCCTTGCCATGGTAAATGTAGGAGGGACAAGGTCTTTTGATCTCAGTATCTGAGAGAGTAGCTGGCCAGCACTGCCACCCATCCCAGGTGTTGGGGCAGCTACCTGCAAGAGGCGAATATTTCATTAACACACCTTCATCAGCACTATCATGGTTATATACTATTAAATCTCATCCAAAGCAACTTCATACCTGGAATGCTGACAGTGAATAAAATGCCACCTGTCAGTATGAGTCAGGCAGCTTTGGTGGGACACAAGGTAGGTCACTGAACTCTATAAGAACACACGGAGGTAAAACTTTTTTTGACTTAGAAGCTATTAATGTTTGGTACATGTGGTGAGCTGAGGAGAGCACTGGTGAGCTGAGGAGAGCACTGGTGAGCTGAGGAGAGCACTGGTGAGCTGAGGAGAGCACTGGTGAGCTGAGGAGAGCACTGGTGAGCTGAGGAGAGCACTGGTGAGCTGAGGAGAGCACTGGTGAGCTGAGGAGAGCACTGGTGAGCTGAGGAGAGCACTGGTGAGCTGAGGAGAGCACTGGTGAGCTGAGGAGAGCACTGGTGAGCTGAGGAGAGCACTGGATCCAAGTGTAATTTAGTGTTCTGGTAATTAAGAGTTGTTGATTAACACATGTGCATCAGTTGGGTATTTTCACTGTTGAAACGTTTCTCCTACACAGCAGGCTTTTTCAGTCAAATACAGAGTTATCAGGACTGATCACCTCAAATACTATTCCTACAAGTTTGATGGACTGATTATATCTTATTCATCTCAGTACCACACCTGATACCTCTGTATTTGACTGAAGAAGACTACTGTGTAGGCGAAACGTTTAACAATAAAGATATCCAACTGCTGCAAATGTTTCTTAATCAAAGGTGTCGGTATTTTATATAATTTTCGACAAGAGTTGCAGTAACCAACACCAACATTGCACACCTATCAGACACGAAGCTCAATATAATGAAGAAACATAAATACACATAGATATATCCACTACAAATAATTCATATAGATGGGTATAAAAAATAAAAGAAAGTTTAGCAGTCAGTTGGTAATCCTATTTAATTTTAACAATACCAGTGGAAAAGGAAGACCTAAGCACCCACTTTCTACTGAACATTGTACATGTTGTTGCTCGTCTTTAGTGCCCACCAGTTCTGCTACTTTTAAAGACATGCAGAAGTCTGCAACAGAGCTTGCCTTAAATGGAATCATTTGCTTCAGTATCAGCATGTACTTTACTAGGGTCCATTATAACCTGTTCTTGTACAGAGTAGTGAAACCAGCGAGTCATTTCTAGTTCTTTTAAACCACGAGGTACATTAGAGTATCCTGCACCAAGTGAGAACAGCACTCTAGAAATCCTAATAAACAGTATTTGTGCAGAGATTCAAGGTAAACACTGAATATTTATTTGTTACAAAGCATAATTGACGATCACCGCAGAGACGCATGAGGCCTTAATTATGACTAAAGAACATAAAAGCACAATACTACTTAATGGAACAATACACAAATAACCCGCACATAGGAGGATGATGGGCACGATCATTACTAGAGAAAGGCACACAGGGCATCTCATCCGACACACACATAGATGAATATTTGGTACCAGCCAGTCAGAAGGGGGGAGTGTTTGTCACGGTGGATAATAAACAAACATTCTCCCAATCCTCCACGTTAAAATAAAAAGAGAATGTCAACTTTAATTCAAAGAATACAGAAAACTGACAAAGAAAAATTATGCTATGTAATTTTTGACAGGAAAACGATAAACGGTATTCTTATTAGATTTTTGTTGAGAGTACAGAATTTGTTCCTCGGAATTTCTCGAAGAAGAATGTGAAATCACAAAATATTTTCTTCATAACATTTCCTTTCATACATTTATCCAAAACATCAGACAATGAGCCCAGACAACATTCCACACATACAACAGACAGTAATGCAGACAGATATTTCATATTTCCTACAGGAAACACGGCTGATGCAGTTACACAAGCACTAGTTAGTCCTTGCATCACATACTATGTAGGATGCAACAACTATATGGGAAGAACGTCTAGCAACATCAATACCAGAATACAGGGACGTCAGTATGTTTGCAGTTCCCACACCAGCAATGCTTGTGACGTCCTAAGAGACAAATATTTACACCTTTTGGCTTATAAGGAACTCATCTCGTCATCAAAGAGGAAAAAGAACCAAATGAAACTGTCTAGAAGCATAGATCCAGGGCCGGATTACCGCATAGGCAAACTAGGCATTTGCCTAGGGCCCCACGCATTTGGGGGCCCCGCGGTCCAAGGGGTTCAGGGGCTCATCCAAGACTGTGCACACGGTGCAAGTGCAAAGGGGTCCCTACCTAAAAAGTTCAAGTGTTTGGAGAGTAAAATTGATTTTTAAAAATTAATCAAAACAAAAATAAATAATGAAATAAAATAAAATAAAAATAAATAAACCTAACCATAGATGGCAACACTCAACACGCCTTTGTTTACATCAGAACAGCTGTGTTTTCCCGCTAATGGGTGAGTATGGGAGATTCCTCTCCAATTTTCTGTAGTTTATATGATTTGATAGAATTGCATGATGCAATGATAACAATAATAGTCAGTGATTTATAAAGGGAATAATAGTGCTGTAGTGGTTATGCTGAATATAATAGGTAAATGATGTCACTACTTTAATAGTCTAATCTAGTAATACTATGCTGTCTTGAGTTTATTCTCTTTAAAATGCATGATTTAACAAGATAGTTATAATGGCTGTTGGTAAATGGTTTTGGTTGTCTTGATGTACTTTCCCTATTAAATTTAATCTAAATAGCCAGAATGTATTTAATTAGACGTTAAACAGGCTCACACCGACCCCCCCCCCCACCCCAAGCTGGAAGGGGTCGCTTCGCTTACCCGTAACTCAAAGGGGCCCCGCCAATCTGAATAGCCTAGGGCCCGGAGACTTCTTAATCTGGCCCTGCATAGATCATTTATAATTAGGATAATGTAGAACAAAATTAGGGTGCTATCAGCATGACGAAACCTTCGGCAACGTTACATCTCAACCTTACTGGCCTAACCCTCATTAACGACCCAGAGTCATAACTCATATTTCATGCTTCTCTGATTTTTCATATTTCATAGACAACTTGATCTGGTGACATCTTGTCCTTCCAATGTCATCGTAACTTTCACCTCTATATAGATCTTATCTATTTCGAGGAGAGCTGTGAACACTTACTGGGAGGCCAATAACACTTGCTGAGAGGCCAATAACACTTGCTGAGAGGCCAATAACACTTACTGGGAGGCCAATAACACTTGCTGAGAGGCCAATAACACTTACTGGGAGGCCAATAACACTTACTGGGAGGCCAATAACACTTACTGGGAGGCCAATAACACTTGCTGAGAGGCCAAAGACGCGTACATGGAGGCTAAGAACTTTTACAACACTTACTGGAAGACTACAACTTTACATGACAGCTAATAAGACAGGATCTCACCCACATCAACAAGCTGAATAAAGCATGGATAACGTGTTGAATGTCATCCTCTATATGACTTGTAAAAATTCTACCTATGGCAAAAAAAAAAGTTGTCAAAGTACAGATCTGTTCTACGTACTTGTGCCTTTGTCCATATAACCAAGGTGATTTCTTTACCCATACTTCTAGGGTGTTTTTTGTCCATATATCCACATATGACTAATTTTAACTGCACTAAAGGCTTATACTGCTAACTAGGAAGTAAGAACAAAACTTTCTGCGAGGTTAAAATCACTTTCACTTTTACTGAAAAATCAAGAACACTCACTAGATCATAATATTTACTAGAAGATCATAACACTGACTATGAGAATAATTACAGTTACTGGATAACCAAAAAACACTTATTGGGAAAACACTTACAGGGCGAAAAGAAAAACATACAAATAACACTTACTAGGAGGTAGCAACTCTTACAGGAAGGTCACAGTCCTTACTGAATGGTCAAGGCTACAACTCTTACTGGGAGATCACATTACTTACTGGCTAACCGAAGCTACAACACAGCTCTTACTGGAAGGTCACATTACTTACTGGATAACCGAAGCTACAACACAGCTCTTACTGGAAGGTCACATTACTTACTGGATAACCAAAGCTACAACATTCTGGGAGGTCATATTACTTACTGGGAATCCAAGAAGACATACAAGGAGAACGAGAACCTATACTCTGTGACCACAAACACTGTGTGACCTGAGTACTTACTGGTAAGCAACGTATATGGACGTCATGGAACTTATTGAGAGACCATAAAACTTGCTGAGAGAGCCATAAGTACATGATGAGAGACAAACAACACTTACTTGTAAGCCATAATACTACTCACCGGGAGGCCAGGAAGCTGTTAACATATAGTCGCAGCATTCTACAGCGGCTTGGCAGCAGCTTCGCCACTTGGCCCGACCAGCGTCTCCATTGAAGGTGTCCAAAAGCACTTCCGATGTAGCCACCGCCTCCTCCTGCAGTCACGCAGATGAACACAGAGCGTGACACTCACGAAGCAGAGGCACAGATATCCAGGTTAAAATTTGTAATATATTGTGTGACTGAAGGTGGCCATTATAGCATGAATAAGGAAACAGAACCATGGAACGGGTAGGGCTTGAACCAATGGCAAGTGAGTCTTGAACCTAACAAGCCAGTGTGTTAACCACTCTGCCAGCTGGTCTCTGAGTTTTAGGAGTCACTTACCATGAGTTCTCCGTCCTGTGATTTGTTTGCAATTGTCTTATTACGAATTCGTGAGTCATGAATGTGGAAATGCTCCATGGATCTGAACTCTTCTCCAAGCTGAGGGAGAGAAACTCAGAGTATTCCTACAAGGTTGATTTATTACATCATCTTTACCTCATCACTTCTATTGCCTTCTATCCATTCTCTGTATTTGACTGAAGAAGCCTACATAGAAGAATGTGTGCAAGGAGCAAGTAATAAGACTTTTATGGAACAAGTAACAAAAACATGTGTATGGAACAAGTAACTAAAACAACAGCCAAGATGTTGTCATTGGGGGAGGAGGGTTAGTACGTTATTATCTTCGGCAGTCAAGTGCGTATGGAGATGCCAGTGATATGGAATATGGTGTGTGGACAGACAAGGTCACACACAACAACATGGAATATGGTGTGTGGACAGACAAGGTCACACACAACAACATGGAATATGGTGTGTGGACAGACAAGGTCACACACAACAACATGGAATATGGTGTGTGGACAGACAAGGTCACACACAACAACATGGAATATGGTGTGTGGACAGACAAGGTCACACAACAACAACATGGAATATGGTGTGTGGACAGACAAGGTCACACACAACAACATGGAATATGGTGTGTGGACAGACAAGGTCACACACAACAACATGGAATATGGTGTGTGGACAGACAAGGTCACACACATCAACAACATTTCTTGAAAGCTTCGTTGATAATGATAAGATACCTGTAATCTTAAGACTGTATCCACATTTTTCGTTGGCTAGATGAATAAACCGCTATTTCATGAGAGCGTAACTTGACTGTAACCTGACTGTAACTTGACTGTAACTTGACTGTAACCTGACTGTAACTTGACTGTAACCTGATTGTAACTTGACTGTAGTCTGACTAACTTGACTGTAAATTGAGTGTAACCTGACTGTAACCTGACTGTAATTTCACTGTAACCTGACTGTAAGTTGACTGTGGCCTGACTAACTTGACTGTAAACTGACTGTAACTTGACTGTAATTTGACTGTAACTTGACTGTAACCTTATTGTAACTTCACTGTAGTCTAACTAACTTGACTGTAAACTGAGTGTAACCTGACTGTAACCTGACTGTAATTTCACTGTAACCTGACTGTAACTCGACTGTAGCCTGACTAACTTGACTGTAACCTGAGTAACTAAATTATTAAGATGTACTACATGACCAGGTCAAGGAAACAGAAGGGAAGAGTTGCTTACACTGTGGCAGGACCTGGACGTCTCCTTCCCTTCCTTATGCTGAATGTAATTGATGAGAGTAAGACACATATGCAACATCTGGGTATCTTTATTGTAGACGTTTCGCCATCCAGTGGCTTTATCAATACAAAATCTAGGACATAACTTGAAGACAGTAGAACTGTGTACAGAAGATGAGGTAATCAGTCCCTCAACCTAGGAGTAGGTGCGAACAGCACCCTAGTCGTGGAGATTCTGAAGCAGAAGAAAGAATCCTGGCGCTTATATAGTAACGTCAGGTGAAGCAGACGAGGGCAAATTCACTGGTAGGCGGGATTCCCCAGTGGAAGTAGGTCCTTCCCAAAGAGATGGGTTAGTTGTAGAGGTAGTTGTCGTAGTCATCATAGTCATCTTCTGTACATAGTTCTACTGTCTTCTAGTTATGTCCTAGATTTTGTATTGATAAAGCCACTGGATGGCGAAACGTCTACAATAAAGATACCCAGATGTTGCATATGTGTCTTACTCTCATCTTGTCGGTATTATATACCATTCGTACACAACTGAATGTAATTGCGCTAAACCCTTCCTCCTTTACTTCATTAGGTCTGTTTATAAGAAATTTCTCTGTGAAATCCTGGAGTTAAATGTTCAGTTCATCACTCCTGAGAAAAGTACAGCATATGCTCGGAAAAGCCACTTCCCCCACTTCTATCACCGTTCTTCTCTGTACTAGACTGAAGGAACCACTGGATGCCGAATCGTTTCCTCAGTAAAGATTCCCAAAAGTTACACAAGGGTCTTATTCTTCAACTTGTCAGTTTTCTAAAGCATTGCATCACATTACGCAGGTTGTCTGCAGATCTGACAGAGACTACCAAAGATGTGTTGCTCTGGACATTTCCTGTGGTCCTCTGCTGTTATTGGCTGAATGGTGATTGCACGGTTAGTGCTTTAATCTATTTAAACGGTTTTGCTAAGTCTGGCTCAGCTAATTATAGAGGTGCCATCCTAGTATGAGATAAGGGTAAGGTAGAGAAGGATTTAGGGAGAGCTAGCGGATCTCAAGTGACTGCAGCACCCTTAACTGACACCTTTAACTAATCCAGAATTACTTTCATGCATTCTCTTGTGACCAAAATCTAAGACCGGTGTTCTACCTACCCTACTACATGGCTCAGGAAATCGTAACGACACGATTGCAAACAAACCACACCACGGGTGGGGTTAGAACCCGCAGTCAGAGGATTCACAAAATTCCAGACCGTACCATTAGCCAAGTTGTGCAAGACAGGTATACAATACCGACAAGATGAAAGTTAAGACACTTGTGCAACATCTGGTTATCTTTATTGTAGACGTTTCGCCAACCAGTGGCTTTATAAAGCCACTGGTTGGCGAAACGTCTACAATAAAGATAACCAGATGTTCCACAAGTGTCTTAACTTTCACCATTAGCCAAATGGACAAGCTAGCCCAGTGGCTAACGTGACGGTCTGGAGTTCTGTGACTCTCTGATCGCAGGTTTTAATCCCACCCGGGCATGTTTTTTTTTTTTTCTATCTACCCTATATGGTACTTCAGAAAGTATCATGGCTTGAACTACACATCCAGTTTCTTTCTCAGCAGAACGACAGTGATAAACAATTGATGAAATTGACGTATTATGTACAACCCAACCACAAAGGAAAAAATATCCTGGAAATGTCTTGCTCAGTTGGAAATCTTTTAGAAACGACAACGAAAAAGACTCTTTTTCCATTGCTGCTAATAAATCCCGAAATACATCTTAATTATCATTTACCAGCACAAGGAATCGTTGCCCCGGTCAGCCAAGACGTATACCTTCAACACATACTAATAATGGGACGTGTATCATCAGTGTATCATAGTGCCAAAGCAGCATTACAATACCTAATGGCAATACAATACTACAATAGCAATACAATACCACAAGGACAATGAAATGCACCAACGGAAATTCAATACTACAAAGGTAAAACAATACCACAACGGTAATGCGATATACCAACGGTAATACCAACTACAATACCCCAATGACTGTCCACCAACACTTCATCCTCAATTCGTGTCGAGGAACGGTTGTCATCCCAAACAGTTTTATACAACCAAACATTACTGAATGTACCCAAGATAAACAAAAACAATTAGAATTGCATCCTCTCTCAATCAGCAGAGTCGACATTAATATCCGCCTGGCTCATAGATGCAGGAAATTTCAAACCAATATAGCCAACAGATATCTGATAGCCATACATTCCCACCCCCTCGGTACGCAGAAGATCAACGCTTGTAAGGACACTCGAATCAACACCACAATCATGCCACAGATGTTGGCACTAGGCTACCCAGCGTATGCTCACCGGTTTTACGTTTTCCTTCTGGAGAGTGAAAACCGGTGTCTGAGACAGATAGAGGATTTACAATATGTTCAAGCAATTTCGAAACTACACTTAGGAGGGAGAATGCCTCACATCTCCTATTCCAGAGTTTCCAGGCGCACTCATCGCTCACTAGCGCCTTCCAATCCTCTTACTCTCATCCCCAAATCTTATACAATCCCCACTATTAATGTTACACTTGGTGCCTTCACTGCTTCACAAACAACATAACTCACTATGACTACGCCTCCAGACTCACACCTTAACCTCAAAGGCTCCCAAAAGTGACTACTTCGAGGCCTCGCCAGCACTTCGCAAGCTACAGCATAGTCTCTAGTTTACGATGATCTAAAACTTTAATAATAAACGCCACAGAAATATATGTCCCTCTCCACGTTTTTTCCACTCTCTTCAAAACACAATAAACTGCACCTTCCTCCATGGTCGCTCACATCTCCCACAATCCACTTTTACTTGACAATCCCTCACAATCCCCCCTTTTTTTTGACTACCACTAATGAACTCGCCCTTTCGACTTCGTTGCCTTACTTGTCTCCAACATTACATCTGCCACTTTCATGTAAACGTCTCCATGAGAGGAGACGCTCCTAGACATAATAGCATAATTTGAAAAGACGCAGTTAGAAACTGACCTCAACAAGTCCACTTTCACATCTTACCCTCACATCCGCATCTCGGTCTCTTGAACTCGGATCCCGAATTCGTGAAGTTTTACTAATATCTGTATTCCACCGACGTACAGAACTGTAGTAGGTTCGCCGGTCTTGACCCGGCTCGGGTCTTTTCCAGGTAGTGACCCGACGTAACGACGTACAGACCATTGCTCAGGACGCCCACAACTACACTACACGCGGATCACTTATCATTAATATTTGCTGTACCACCTCGTGTCGACCTTACTGACCTTCCCAGTGATCAACAACATATTCATTTTAGTGTACATATTTTTATTTACAGATATACCTCCAATTATCCTTTATATTACGTTAGTGATTCCATCAATTTTAGATTTAAGGTAACTTTAATTATTGTATCATATTTTATGTGTACTGTGAATATATTTGTGTGGGACACTTGATGTTGTGGTCAAGTTGAGCCTCAGTCAAGTAGCGTATGTAAGTACGACACTTGATGTTGTGGTCAAGTTGAGCCTCAGTCAAGTAGCGTATGTAAGTACGACACTTGATGTGGTCAAGTTAAGCCTCAGTCAAGTGGCGTATGTAAGTACGACACTTGATGTGGTCAAGTTAAGCCTCATTCAAGTAGCGTATGTAAGTACGACACTTGATGTTGTGGTCAAGTTAAGCCTCAGTCAAGTGGCGTATGTAAGTACGAGCCGGTGAATCATATCCTCAGTGGGACTGTTTTAAACATGTTCGAATATTTTTAGTTTGCGACAGAGAAGATAGAGATCAATCAAGTGCATGTTACACGCACA